GCTATTTTAATGTAATTTGTCTTTTGTAGCTGTCATTACTTCTGTCCAAAGACTGCAGTTAAAAATAAGCTAAGATAGCTAACCTGGCACATTTTCAGAAATGTTTATAAATGTGCCCTGTTGCTGTAGTTTTAAACTGTGTTGGTAAAATTTGGATCGGTACCTTATTGATCATCTTATCTTTCTCTCAGTGTTGGTATTCCTTTGAAGCCATATGCCTCGAGACTCATCGCCTGCATTTGGATGATGACTGAGGATCTCATGAGCTATTGTATCGTAAGTGTCAGTGCCAGCAGCATTAATCATGTAAAACAACATAAAACTTAAGATTTCAAGGTGAACGGCCTGGAAGCTTGCTTTCATAGTTTAGAGTTGTCACAACCTGCACTGGTAAACCGAGATGGTGATTTGTTATTTTTTAACAGGGGAATGTACTTATAGGATCACTTCCCTGCTGCAACAGACACACACACACACGTACGGTTGGGGGGGTGACAAGTTAACAAGAGGGAGGGCATCCCTGCTCATTCCCCTTTAAATCTCCTACTGTTTATTGCTCTGTATAGGACTCACCGAATGACATGCCCACCATTTAATGGTAGACAGTCCCTTTGCCAGCTGCAAGCAGTTGAGCTACATCATGGACAATCAAACGTGCCAACTTAACTAGTCAAATAATTCTCCACAGTTTCCACTGGTACTTCTGGGAATGGGCACCCAACTGCTCCACTGTTATGGGAACTTTCACCATTCAGCTGCTGAGAGACTTCCTTCAAGAAATAAAAATACTAGGGTATGTGATCTTCAGATCTGTAGTTTTCGATAACTCTTCCAAAATGTGTAACTATGCTTCTACATGAAATAGCATGAGGACTGAACTGATATCTTCAGTCATACCAGTCAAAACTCTTAGAGCTCTCTAAATTGTTCAGCGGAGTTAGTCCATAGCTCGCTGCATATAGCTTTTCTTGCTATTTCCAGAATATTAAACATTGGCTATCTGTGATTTCTCATATAGACCAACCAGCAGCTATTTAACAAAACAATCAAGGTACACGTACCTAAAACGAAATAAAAAACTGAAATAAATGGCAAAAAACAGTAATGAATGCAAACAGAGAATAGTAAACTTAAGAATGTAATCTAAACTTGTCAGGAGAGTAAACTTTAAGTATTGAAGATACAACTTTGCATGCACTAAAGATAAAGATTGTTTACCATTATTTCTGTCTGAATGGACTCTGTGATTCTGTGGTCAATTTGTTATTTACAAAACTACTTTCTTTTTTAACAGGTTGTTCAGTGATGCTTGTACTGTATGTGTATTTTTTGCTGTTGGGGGTGTTTTACTTTGTATGCTTCAGTGCTGTGAATCTTTCAGAAAAGAGAGAGACACACTCATTGCAGTAATAACAGCAGTGCACTTAATTGCTGATAGAAAACATGTGCAAAGATCATTTTACAAATCCTCCTCCCTGTGCTGTGTGAAACAAGTAAATATTTGTATTGCAATGTGCTGTAGTCTATTATCATAATAACTAAACATATGTTACATTGATGACATCTTTCGGATACAGTCAATGGTGCAGAGACCTCCAGGGCTCCATGTCACAAAGCAGGTTCAACAAACTCTGAGTCTAATCCTGAACTCTGAATTGATCTACTCTGAGATAGGAAACTCTGAGTTTCCGGTTCCAGAACAGTGGATTTGAGTTAGTTTAATCAACTCGGAATAGTTTCACCTGGAATTAAGCGCGTGCACCACAACTATAAAAAGCCAGTATCAATGGAGCCCCAAGTCGACGAGTCCCCATGGCAACGGTAATGGCAATTGGAAATCTTAATACACTCATACTGTGAGTTTGAACACATATCGCGTTTAAAATTGTATCAATATATTTTTTATATCGGCATATCGCCCAGCCCAATTCAATGTATTTCAACATCAACTACCTATTTTACAATTCTATTTGAAAAAAATGGGATGGAGCCGTCAAGTAATAAAAAAACAATGCTGTTAGTTAAAAAAGTATTATGCCAAAAATAAAATAACAACCATGTTTTTCTGGCTGTATAGCAGTGCCCAGCTATGTGATACATGTAATAAATTCTTTTATTGTGAAAAGACCATTTGGAAGACAAATCGGCAACTGCACACGGTGGGTTAATATACACACAAACACACAGACACACACACACATACACACCACTAGTAATGTCGGTAGCCTGCAGTTGTTATCAGCAGGACCCAGGAGGTACAGCTACGTCAGCTAAAACTAGCTACCCAACTAACTATTACAGAGGTGAAAAAAACCATCAGTTCCTTGAATGGCCACTTGAAGCTGCTCCAAGAGCGAATCAATCCACACACACCCCATGTTAAACTGTCAACCTTTACTGCAGAATGTTTACAGCCTGGTGTAAAACCGGTATCCCGTTCACAACAATTGCACTAACTTAAAGTTATGCATAACTAGGGGCATGGTCACTATGAGTACAAGTTCAGTACGACCACAGTAAAGCTCGTAGCCATGAGACATTTGTGTGGCCTGCTTTAGCTTTACACATGCTCCATGTTTTTGCTTATTTTTGGGTGTGCTAAGAGTTAAGAGGAGTCAGGTACTGCCAAGATGGTGACACTGGTGACACATTGAGCTTTGAAACGGCCGTTCAGGAAACCTATAGGTGATGTCTTAGAGGGCTCATCTATCTTTACATGAAGTCTATAGTTGTCTGTGAAGTACAGCTAAAACAGATGCAGCTGTCCCAGTTCTCAAAAAGTAACAGTAACATTTTAGGATGTAAACACTGTGAAAATAATATGAGGGAATGACTGGAATTTTTTAATTTTGGTATTTAGGTACTTGAGCATTAATTCTTATGACATGACTAATGCCATGACAGAATCCATATTAGTCACAACAGTCCAGGTGCACACCATTCCAGGCAAATGTTCTGGCAGCTGAATGTGTGTGTGTGTGTGTGTGTGTGTGTGTGTGTGTGTGTGCTTCTTGTGGTAGGCAAGTATCCCTGCATGCACTCTGTTTATTCTTCACTTTCACAAAACAGTTTAAAGTTTAACTAATTTGTTTGAGAGCTTTTAAACATCTATAGCAAATGGAGTGTGCACTGTTTACTAGGACTGCCCCACTGGCTTTGGAGAGAAATTGCCAAACATGAACAGCAAGATACTACATTGGAGTCCACCTGGAGTACTTGCTGCTTGTTGCATATCACTCCCATCTCACTCTGCTCTCCTTTTATTCTCTTGCTTCTGTACTGTAAAATAACTGTAATAGAAATGCCTAAATTAATAGTCACTAAATATATATAATTTTTTTGTTTGTTTGTTATTTTTGTTGTTTGTGGGGTTTTTTTTGTTGATTAAAGAAAAAATATTGGGAGACAAACTTTGATCTCAGGATGTTATATTGGTGACTTTAAGTTGTACAATGGCACCACCTCTGTGGACATTTGGAGCACATTTTATTACAGCTTGGAAGATGTCCCACTCTCATTTGTAATAACTTAGTTTAGCGGCTTATTTCTGTCACTATGTATCTGGACCCCTGAGAGCAGCAGAATTTCCTCACTTTCTGGCTGCTTCTGTCACCAGCAAGAACTTTATAAACACAACCACTCTTTGCACAGTAACAACACAAGTTCTAGTGTACAGCCTCCTCAAAACTCTATTAAAGATTAAATTCATACTCTCTTAAAGCTCATTCTCTCTGATTTAAAATTACACACATTTCATGTCTTCACGGATCAATGGAATGATAAATATGCTTTTGGTCTTAATCAACAGTTTGAAAGCCACTACCTTTAAAAATGTCAGCATTACAAATGAATTCCTCGTCTCTTTAACATTTGTAGTGCACTGTTTTTTGGATCTTTGTTGATATAACAGGCAATAGTGCATGAGACAAACCAAAGCTTTGAAATTTTGAACGAACAGTCCTGTGCTGGCTTTTGGATTTAGATCTCTTTTCAGTGGCTTGACAGCTGGCTACGTTAAACACGTTATCACTTATTTCCACACAAAGTTGTGTGAGTTTGCCATTCTGTACATTCACAACTCTTTACTATAAGTCCAAACATAAAGACTGCAGTGTCAGAAAACTCTGTGAAAAAGCCACTTTCCCAATTGATGGAATGCACACTCACAAAATCACTTCATATAAACTGCACCAGTTGCCATTTTGAATCTATCTGCTTAGTGGAGGAGCTTTGTTTAAATAATAATAATAATAATAATAATAATAATAATAATGTCATTGTGATGATGATTATTATTCCAGTTTGAGCTGAGACAGTGTACAATTAATCTAAAAAGATGTGGACATTCAGTGAGCAGAATCCAACAACACACCTGAGTTGCATTATTAGAAGTTTTAACCATATATACCCTCACCACAGTCACTACAAACTCGTGTTCTGCAAGCAAACTGTTCAAATCTATAAAACTCTTTTCTAAATCCTACAAACAAACAAAAATGTCTACGTTTTCAAACATCCTGACTCCAAATTAGACCTGTTTAAGAAATCTGTAATTCAAAAACACATCACTGGGCCTACAGAGACAGAACCGGCTGACACAGCATCAATCGTGAAAAAAACAGCAAAACACAGAAAACACTCCGATAAAAATGACTGAAGAAGGAAATCACACTGCTGAAAAAATGAGAACCAAAGAGGTTGCGTCATTGGCAGACGCTGACGTCAGTGTGTTTGTTAATAAGACGCAGCTCGATGCGTCTGATCAGCTCTTCTCCCAAAGGCCTCAGCGCATACACAAAGAGCTGGAACAGCCCGCTTCTTTCACCCACATCACCCAATATCTCTGCAGTCTCCTCCGCCTTGTCTGAACGAAGCTGCATCGTGGATGGTGCCATAAACGGACACCATCCATCGCAAGCACAGACACATTCGCTCACACTCTGCACCCATGTACACATTCTCCTTGCTCGGCCTTTTTTCGCAGCATCCCTTAAGCCTACCTTTCAGATGAAAATTCGCTCGGGCATTAATCCATGATGAGCACGTTGTTATTGCTGCCTCTTGATCTCGTTTCTCCCGACGTTGCGGCGCAAAAAGGGCGAAATAAATGATTATTAAGAGGCAGCCTGCGTCCTGTCGGTAAGCCAGAGATGCGCCCACCCGAGCCCATGGACACAAGAAGAATGCTCGGATTCAAAATCAAAATTAGGCAAAAGAAGGGAGTGGGGAGGGGGGTGGGCGACCGATACACGGCCCCCTCTGCACACCAAAACGAAGCAAAGGGCTTCTCTGTTGTGTTTTTCGATCGCCTAGTCCTCCATAACAGCGTAGCCCTCTCTCTCTCTCTCTCTCGTAATTTGCCCTCCACACACACATGCACACACGCAGAGCAGAGCAGCTCTTTTTCATTTAAAGAGATAGTGCTTGGGCAGCTGGAGCAGCGCAGTACACAGAGCTACTGTGTCTGCTTCTTATGTAACCTGAGCAGCAGCTTGTGCTTGTTCTGCTGTCGAGAACCTCTCAAACACAAAACGAACCAATGGCAACTGCTGAACCTGCATAGTGTGTCTGTACAATTGTGTCACACATAAACACACTCTGTCTTCAGTAGTGCTGACACAGTTTATCTTAGCTAATCTAATAAACTATTACTAATAGACATCTCATTTACATTGTACATTCTGCATTTTATATTTTATTATTGTTTATTTTTGCCTATTTATTGGTATTTATGGTGGTGGTAATTCTATCTTGTGCTGTAACAACCAAATTTCTCCTTGGGGATTAATAAAGTATTTCTATCTGTTTGGAATTGTGGTGTAGATCCCAATACTTCGCAAACTTACGTATTTCCTAAAGCGATTGTTTTGTGGAACTTTTCAAAATGACGGTCGGGACACATTCATGAAGGAGGTGCAGCTTGCATTCCTTATAGTTTTCTGATTCGCGGGAGTTTCCCTTAAAATGTAGAATGGCGGTTGGCAGAATGTTCTCTAAACCTATATTGTACCACCCAGTCTCACAGCAATTCATGAAATAGTCACAAAACATAATCTATTGATTTGTGTCCAGGGACACGTATTGCCCAATTTTTTCGTGTCCCCCAACACAAATTTCAAACCAATACATTTCAATTGGACTTATCTTTCATGTCTGGGCCACGTTTTTTTCCCTGTCAGACATCGCATATGCTGTGATGTTTTTGTCATTCTTTTCTTCCAATAGTCAGGCATTAACCACTTTTGCTGTTATGGCCCATCCACACTAATAATTATAGAGATCACTATAAAGATGCGTTTGCCCACACCAATGAACGTGAACATTGTGTAAACACTGGTGCTGAGCAGCTACCGTGTGCTCCAGCTGCGTATAAGCTCTGTATCCATTAGAATATAAAAGGCAAAAAAATATCCAGACTGAGAGAAGCTGTTCTGAGATCTCTCTGAAAGGGATCCCAACTATATAATTCATAGATATTATCGTTTATTTGTGATAAAATACAAATGCTTTTATCAAATCAAATCAGGTTTATTGTCATTTTGCTGTACATACACAGTAGTACAGGCAAGATGAAAGAGCGTTTCTTCAGGATCATTTAAGTTTTGCGGAATGCACATCTCGGATAGGCAAGACATTAAACGTTCACTCTCGCTGTCTCCAGAAGGGGTCACTGTGTCTACACACGCCATCATTCATTGAACATGGCAGACCTATTCAGGTCCTGGTAGGTCTTCAGGGACACAAAGACACACGATGGTGTGACGATGGTGAAGCCGCAGATGCTGTCCAGAGCTAGCTGTCTGTCTGTCTGTCTGTCTGCATCCCCTCCAGCTGTATGTCCATCTGGGATATTGTCATGGAGCCATGTTTCTGTTAAAGCAGACACACAGCAGTCTTTCCATTCTCTGCGGGTTTCTCTCAGCAAACGTAGCTCGTCCAGCTTGATGCTGAGGAAGCGGATATGGGAGAATAGGAGGAAGGTCCTGCTGGACTGGAGGGGTTAGCCTTTAGCCTAGCATGGATGCCGGCTCTCTTCCCCCTCTTTTGATAACGTTCGTACTGTTTGCACTTCCTTCTCTCTCGGGTAACTGCCGGCGTAGTCTCCGATCGGACTCCATGTTGGCACAGCATGTCCAGATCACAACCAATCACTGCTATTTCAGCACCACTCACTGTCCCGACGCCCAGAAAAGTCTCTCAGCCTCAACTTTTGCGGAATGAACCTCTGGGATAGGCTTAAAACGTTCACTTTCGTTGTCTCCTGAAGGGGCCGCTGCGTCCATGTGCGCCGGCATCACCATGGCAACTTTACTCTGTTTGGGCTACATGCTCGTCGTAACTTTCATTTCTCTGTAAAAGAATACAACTCTGAAAAGAAGGAGACATGTACAAGGACAACAGCAACCGGAAGATGTAGTGTGATCACAGCGATGGATAATCTGTCTATTGTAACTGAGAGCCCAGCGGTGGGAAATGTATCTGTATCGATGTAAAGCTTTTAACTAGCTCGTCGAGGCTGGCAACATTAGCTACTAGTTAAGCCTAGCAGCTGCTGCTGCTGCTGCTGCTGCTGCTGCTGCTGCTTCAACTACAACTTCCATTAGTGTTTAGTGACGTGCGGCTTGATACTGAAATATTATGCTTCTAATACCTCTTTATGCTCTAAAATCGATTCTCAAATCAAAATATCGATACTTTTGATACTTCAGTCACTTGAGGTAATGTATATCATTACCAGGAGAACAGTGGAAAGTAACTAACCTACTGAGATCTTGTCTAAATGACAATGACACAATGGCAGATCGCAAATGGAATCAAACAGCCAAGACGCAGTTCGTGATGTTTGTTTAAAAATGGTAAGAAGTTGTAGCAACACAACAAACTTTGTGAAACACCTCAGGTTAAACCACAACACAGAATGCAAGACATTTTTGATGAGGCGGACAGAAGACGAGAGCAGGGTCAGCTAGAGCAAGACAGACGTCTCTGGATTAGTCCTTCGGTGCTGCAGGCAGCACTATCCAGGTACCGAGGGAGGACATGTGGAGCTTCAAGCGGCATTGAGCACTGTTGCTGTTCAGTGAATGAATATGATTATGAAATAAGTAGCAAAATAAATACATGCTTCAGCAAATAGCTGCATGAGTTCAGCTTGGATTAATCAAATGTGTATCACTGAAATGGTCTGCACTTATATAGCGCTTTTCTACTTTTGCAGCACTCAAAGCGCTTTACAGTGTTTCTCATTCATCCATTCACACACATTCATACACCAATGGCGACAGAGCTGCCATGCAAGGCGCTAGCCTGCCATTGGGAGCAACATCGGGTTCAGTGTCTTGCCCAAGGACACTTCAACTGTGGAGGGGCGGGGGATCGAACCGCCAACCTTGTGATTAGAGGACAACCTGCTAGCACCTGAGCCACAGCCGAAATAATCTCACGTAGGCAAAAAAGCCTAGATTTATTCAGGCAAGGTTTCCTAAAGAATTGATCATTTAAAGTGGATTACATAGACTAGCTGTCATTAAATTATACAGAGCAATTGCAATAAAATAGCCAGGACGAATTTAGAAAAATATATAAACAAAAAGATGGATAAAAAATAACAGTTTATTTATCTTGGCTTTATTATTATTATTATTATTATTATTATTATTATTATTATTATTATTATTATTATTATTATTATTA